TGCAGAATGAAAGCAGCATAGTCACATACATGTACTTTTACTTAAAAAAAAGTGTTATGCATAATGAGCAAGGGGAAAAAAATAGATAAATTTAAAAAAAGTGAGTTCTTTCTTCTCTAGCCAAGCTTTTTTCAGTACAAAAGTTTTAGAAAAAACCCCATTTAGAGTTACCCAAATACTATAGAAGTGACTTCAAGCAGTATATGGACATATAGGACACTCAAAACAAGATGCATTAATAATATGATAGTACACAGTTGTTAAGGGTAAAAAACAAAAATAAAACCACCCACCCACTCCTGGGTGTTGGCAAGAGCAAAGGTGGCACAGTGGTTAGGGTGCAGTACTGCAGGCCACTTCAGCTGACTGTTATCTGCAGCTCAGCAGTTCTAATCTCACCGGCTCAAGGTTGACTCAGCCTTCCATCCTTCCGAGGTGGGTGAAATGAGGACCCAGACTGTGGGGGCAATGCTGACTCTGTAAACCGCTTAGAGAGGGCTGAAAGCCCTATGAAGCGGTATATAAGTCTAACTGCTATTGCTATTGCTATTGGTCATCCTGGAAGAAAGCAATGGCAAGCCATTTCATATCTTGCCATGAAAATTGCATGGATTTGTCCATCTAGGTCAAGCTATATTGGAGGGCAATCATTTTTTTCTATCCTAAGAATGCTTTCTTTATTATAAAATATGCTATTTGAATTTTAAAATGTGAATGCTAGAGGACACGTCATCTATCCCTATCCGCAGGCTAATATAAAATCAGTTTTAACATGCTATAGTAATTGTTCTCCTCAGTCGGTAGAGTAAATGCCAGGATAAGAAAGCAATTCCACCAAAACCAGAAAAGCCAGTTGGTGAAAATGAACTCTAATCTCTACCCATGTCAAATGATCATGGTATTAAACTTCAACAGAAGAGAACATCTGTAGCTCAGGGTTGAATTGTAGTGTCCTCAGTGCTTTCTCAATTTGGTTGTTGCTTACAGACATTTCACTACCCAACCAGGTAACATCATCAGTGTAAATAAGCTAGGGGTTTGCTGACTGTTTATATAGTTTTACCTTGCCAGTCATAGAAATAATTATAATGAAATATTTTAATCCCCAAATGAGTATAGGATCTGATGCCCGTTTATCTACAGTAGCTCTTCCTGCCAGTTTTGGAGGGGGTAGGTTCAAAGTGCCACCAGCTACAAAAAAATGAGTGGGCAACAATAAGATTCTTCCCCCCTCTCCAGTTCTGTTACCCAAAGTATGGTTTTCCTTTCATAGAAGAATTTGACAGGAATCTGTTTTTTGTTATCAGATTAAAACACGATTATCCTCTTTTGTATCTTCAAGGAAATGAATGTTATCATTCTAATGCAAAAGGTTATTTTAATCACTAAATGAGCAATCCATTTAGTTATTTGAATTTGAGTTTCAGGTTATGGGGAGAAGTAAGGAACTGCATATGTGCCCATATGCCTATTGTTTCATGTTAATTATGTATTTAGTTAACTATGGTATAATTGCCAAATCACTGCTTGTTCTAAAATACTTATGTTGGTTTTTATTGATTATTACTGGTAAATTTATCCCTGCAACTATTTTGACTTTCAGCAGTTAACAAAAGCCATGTGAAATCAACAACACAGTAAACCTACAGTAAAAAAAATCACAATATAAAAATTAGAATTGTAAAATAAAATTAATCAAGGAACAAATCAGTGGGATAATTTCTTCTTCCTTAGGATCTCTAAAACAACGTGATTTTTAAAAGCTTAGGGAAAGCCAATGTGTGTGCTCAATCTGATCTCCAGAGAAGACCATTCCATAAATATAAACACCCTTCCCCGCTCAGAAACAGGACCTGAAATCCTCAACCTGTTATTTCACAAAAACTTTTAGGGGTTTTGGGGTGTGGTTCAACCTATCTATCATTTTTCATTTTAATGTTTAATTGTCCTCTAAGAGTGATCACTTTAGGCTGCCAGTTTGCCTGTGCGCATACACCCTTGAGTCAATTTTGACTCCTGGAAATTGCCATTTTCTTGGCAATATATTTTTTGTAAGTAGCTTGTCGCTGCCTCCTTTCTCCAGCTGAGAGAGACTGATTGACACAAGGTCACCCAGCTGATTTTGTGCCTAGGGCAGCTCTAGCCCTCAGTTTCCCAGTTTCTACCCTGGTGCTTTAACCAATATACTACATTGGCTCTTCTGGTAAGTGGGAATTTTGTGATGGACTATACGTGTTATAACAGCTATCTCGTGAATACAGATAGTTCTCAATTTAAGACCATAATTGAGCCCAAAATTTCTGATCTAAACAAGACAGTTGTTAATGAGTTGTGACCTATTTTACAACCTTTTTGTCATAGTTGTTAAGGAAATGACTGCAGTTCATGAATTGTTAAGTGAACCTGGCTTCCCATTGACTTAGCTTGTCAGAAGCTGGCTGAGAAGGTTACAAATGGTGAGCATATGATTCCAGGACAGTGTAACTATCACAAATATATGCCAGTTTGCCAAGCACCTGAATTTTGATCACATGACCAAGGAGATGCTGCAATGCTAGTAAATGTGAAAACTAATCATCATTCACATTTTCAGTGCTGTTATAACTTCAAACTGTCACTAAATGAATGGCTGTAAGTCAAGGACTAAATGTATACTAATTACATGCTTTTGAAATTCCAAATATGCTTCTAAATATTGGCTACTCCTGTGCCAAACCATAGTTTAATAGTAGATCAGAGTTTGCCAAATAAACCACAACTGATTGGGTTTGCACATTGTACCTTTTCACAAACTATACTTTACAAGTCAAAAGTCTAGGTTTGCAAAACATACTGGACCCAAAACATTTTCACCCTCCTTTTGGCTTAGTGAACCAGGCCACAGAAAGCAAAAAAAAAGAGGGCACGTCTCACCCACTTTAATAGAGCTAATTCCCAAGCATTAAAATAACTTGAATAACAGCACTCTTTCCCATACTAGCAACAGCAAAGGCAAGCAGTTGCTGTTCTACCTTACTGTACAGCCGTCTCTGTGTGTTATTTTTTCCTGAACAAGTTCAGTTAACAATGTAAAAAGGAAGTGCTTGACATATCCTGTTTTTTCCAAGAGAACAAGATTTAAGTTTGCATTAAGTAGGAATGGCCACTGTGTCATCAATCTGAATTCTCCCCACAGTGAGAGGAAAACACTTTTCTAATTTGATTGCTAGGAAATAACAATACAATTTTCCATAGTATTTCATACATTACATCTTGAGCATTTAATAGCATTGTAACCTAAGTTCCCACAATTGCATACAGACCCAAAAGTTTTAAATGGATCCTTCAGACTTCCTCCAAAAATGCAACGTGACAGGGCACATTAAATAGAGGAAATCATCATAAGAACAGAATTTCATTAAATTTAATTGCAATTAAATGTAAGCATTAATTATATAAAATTTAGTCATTGTTCTGGCCCTGGCAACCTTTTAGATTTAGTTCTGAGTTCATAACTTTGGCCTTGAGCCCCAAAATTCATGCATTCTGATATAGGTTAGTCATCTTTTTATTAGATGTTAATGCATCTTCACCTGGCATCTTACAAGTCATAACTAGTGTGTTTTGTGTTTGCAATAATATATTTGTAAACATATTGTACTTTTCTCAGTTGTCTTAAAAACAGGCAAGTTAAGAAGATCCCAAATAAACATCAAAGAAATGCCAAACATCAAAAACAGTAGAAAAATTATAGATTACAATGTTTTGGAAGATATCATTTGGCAGCTGGAAACAAGAGTTCAGCTTTTTACTTATGTAATGAATTGCATAATTTACTATCCTTGAGTAGTGTGTGAAGCAAGACTCCTCACTGTGATACACAGTGTATTTTAGTCATAACTTATGGTTCTGGTTAAATATTAAGGACTCTCCAATGGATCATATGGCTGCTCCTCTTGGAAATTCGTATATATATAGGAAACTACTCCCCACTTTGGAGCTATTATTCAATCAACAATTACCACCATAACTCTCAAAGAGCAGCAACATCCCACACGAAGAGAGCAGATTGTGTGAATCTCACCGGTGTAGCTGTACAAAAATGTTCCCATAGCAACGGCAAAGGCACCCACTCACACATATTTCCTGCAGCTTGAGATTCATTAAACCCAAACAATTTAACCTTTCACCTATGTTTAATTGCCGTGCCAAGCAACTAAGCAGGCTTGCATGTGTAGTTTAAAAAGCGAATTGCAGAACAGTGAAAAGAAGGGGGGGGGAACAGAAGCAAAAGGGAAAGCGGAGTTCGTGTAGGAATCGGCAGGACCGAATCTAATCACTGCTCTTGTCTCTTAATGCCCGGGATGTTCACCCACAGGTCAAACACACCCATACACGCACGCACGCACACACTCCTCACCTCACCATCTTTCCGACCAGCGTATTAAAACTCGGAGCACGAAGTTTGCCCCGCCGAAAAGGAATCGGCTTGCCAAAATGACTACCGCTTTCGAAGGAGACCCTAGAAATTGCACGTCGAACGGAAGGAGAGAGGGAGACACTTTCAAAGAAGGGCCACCGGAGACAGGAAGTGTGTGTGTGCGTGTGTGTGTGTGTGTGTACGTGCGCGCGTGTGTATTGTGTGCGTGTAAGGGGATTTGTAAAACTGATGAAAGAGATTCGCGATGAATGAACCCTTGATTTAAAAATAAATGAATGAAAAATAATAAGTCACCCGGAGCCTCTCCCCTAATAAAGGGGGAGATTCACTAAAGGGAGAGTCTTCCAACGAGGGGCGGCGGCGGCGGAGCAACCTCCAGGGCCCGCGACCCAGAAACAGACGCGAATAAGCGGCGTCGCTTGGAGGTTACCGCCGCCAACTTTCGGGAGATGCTAGCGAATCCGGCCGGCGACATCTTCCGCCAGGCTTCCGCGCCCACGCGCCCACCCCTACCGCCCGACGCAAGCAACCAAAAAAAAAAAAGAAAGAAAAGGCGCCTGCCCCTCTTCGCCGAACGCACCGCACCAACCTTTCGTCGTCCATTGTGCGCCGCCGGAGCGGAGCCGGAGCCCTGCTGCATGCGCCTTTCGCCTCCTGCCCGCTCGCTTCTCCAGCGCTGCCGCAGCGAACCGCTCGGCGCCCCCTTGATCTGGCTGCGCTCAGCTGGCCGCCTTCCTTCTCGCCCCTGCGCCGCTTCCTCTCACGCCTAAAGCAACAGCGGCAGGTTAACTTTGCAGCAGCCAGAACACTCCCTTCCCAGAGGTCCCCGCTGCCGCCGCCGCCGCTACTCTGCCTCCAGCCTCGGCAGCCCACTCCCTTCTGCCTTCCTTTCTCCCGCTCCGAGCATGCGACTCGGTCTCCTGGCAACACCAGCTGTGCGGATAGGTACATTGCACCACCCCGGCTGCTGCATTTGCCCGAGGCATCTTTTTGGCGGGGTTCCGCTCGGTTTTAAAAAGACCGACCAAGGGAACGAAGCAAATGCAGCAAGGGCGGAAAGGGAAGGGAGCGATTTTTTGATCTTGATCCCGAGGTTTATGGCTTAGGGAAGGGGGAGGCGTGCTTCGGAACGTACTCTCTTTACATCCCACTTCTTTGGATTTCGTTCTCGCCCTATTCCAAAGCTCTAGGGCAATGTATTTAACTCATAGGTTTAGAGGATGTCTTAAAAAGGGAAACAATTCCCTTTGTATTGTGTTTATTTGCACTCTGGAACAAATCTAGTTTTAAAAACCGGCAGGGTTGTTAAGGCAAAACGTGCTCTATTGTGAGTGTAATAGTAGATTCGCACATCCATTTTCCCTTACTGGGGCCAGTTTTCAGCTTCAGTAAAAGCAGGTACATCGCTTTTTGCAACCAAGATAAAGGCATTCGAGTTTGTAAAGTATCAGCACTGTATAGCCTCGTTAAATGTACAGCACGGGTTGGAGGGAGGGGACGTACTGTAAAAAAAAAACATTCTCTTATTTCAATTGTAAAGTACCAACTATCTTTTTCATTCTCTATACATATTTACATTTCAGATAGATTGTCAGGGTCAGAGGACTAAAGAAAAAGTTGGATATGTGCATTTTAAACTCAAGCAACCTCACCAAGAATCAAAATGAGGTTTATAAGCTATTTAATATCTTTACTCTCCAAGTGACATGACATAGAGATTAAATGCCACATGTTCAACTGAAATTATATAGATGCTATACTTCAGGCTGTTCTAAAGCAATGGAATGGAGACTGAAAAATAGCTTAAATGTTTACTGGATCTTTGATCATACAAATGATAAACAGGACTGCTACCAACCCAGGTTTTTTTAAAGAAAACAACTTTTTTTTTGATTAGCACAATGTAGTGATTTATAATCAGGGACGTCCAGTCAGGTTAACTCTGTCATCATGAAAAGAAAAAAATGTAAAAGGAAAAAGGCAAGAAGCTGATGTCAGGCTGAGCTAGTTGCTGCCAGAGTCACCATGGATGACTCTGCTTAGTGCTTAACTGTTTAAAAAAGCCTCTAAAAAAGTGCCCTCTGCAGGAGGCGGCAGGAGAACGATATGCCTCATCTAGTCTGGCGTTTGATCACTTGAGCAGAGTTAAGCAAGGGTTAAAAGCCGAAAAATCTCTGACGTAGGCAAGGCACGTTGTTCTCTTGCCTTCTCCTGTAGTGTGCTTTTTTAGAGGCTTTTTTAAACAGTTAAGCACTAAGCAGTCGTCCATGGTGACTCCGGCAGCAACTAGCTCAGCCTGATCTCAGCTCTTGCCTGTTTCTTTTACTTTTTTTCTTTTCATGATTGCAAGCAAGAGCAGAGTTGAAATCTTCTCTGAAACAGCTGAAAAAGGTACGTGTGGGTCAGAGGGAGGGGGAGGAATTCAAACTTCATCCTCCTGGTGCAACTTTGTATGTGTGTGTGTGTGTGTTTATTGAGACAGTTCTTTAGTTTATGCACTATGTAACACTATGTAATACTATGCCTTTGGGTCTTCTGAAATTTTAATTATCCAATCATAAGCAAAAACAATGTTTTCAGTAGAATGAATTTCCACTTCTACTTACACCTGCCAGCGAAAATGCTGCTAGTGGTATTGCTAACATGGGCTGAGGAGGAAAACCTAAATTTTCTGAATCCTGGTGCAACTTTGTGTGTGTGTGTGTGTGTGTTTGAGAGAGGGGGGAGGGAGGAAGGAGGGGAAGGGAGAAGAAAAAGAAAAAGAGAGAAGGAAACTTATTTAGAAAAGGAGAAAAACAAATGCTGTCACTTTAAATCGGAACTGAGCATGCCTGGCTGTGGAATTCTGGGAGTTGAAGTCCACAAGTCTAAAAAAATTGCTGCCTCACCAGCCATAAACCTCACTGCACGTCACTGGTTCTAATCACTCATAATCCCATCTCATGCTGTAATATATTAAGTGTATTCACTTGAACAATCATAAAACTAGAAAATATACTAGTTACCAGCTCAAATATGGATGCAGAACCAAAATACCAATTGACCTTATTTATATAACATGTTGACTTTCATCAATTAGAATTGGAAAAGGGATAATGGGGCATGCATTTTTTAGACTTTGGAGTTTGTAGCCAGCCAAACCAGCTATTCCCATTGAGGCTGCTTACTCACTAATTTTTGAAGGAATTTATAATACCTTATGTCTCACAAGAAAATTTACTGTATTTTGCATTTCTGCAATCTTCTTTCTATAGCCTTCTAAAAATCACATGTATGTGGATCATGTCATTCTCGCAACATAGCAAGTGAGTTAACCAAAATCAATATTTATATATAACTGAGTACAGAAATAAATATGAATCTTAGTAATTGCTAGGTTCTGTCCTATTATTCTTTTACTAAGGAAAGGTGACATATTGCAACCAAGTAACGGCCCTCTGGCATTTTCATTTGTTATTATGCCATTGAGCACATGTACCCTATAGATACCCTTTAAAAATAACAATAGAAGATGAACACAACCCAGTGCTTTGTGTGCTCAACTGCCCAGAAAACAGAGGGAATGTGGGGTGGCAGGGAACAATCTCGCCAACTTTCTATTAACGGTTTGCCACAATCACCAAACACTATCAACAAACAGGCCACATATATATCTACCAGTATAAAGTTATAGACCCTGGTATAAGTTCACAGAATGTTCATTCAATTTTATTCAATTTATGATCCTGACCAGACTTGTGTTCAGTCCTTTTAAATCTTCAGTAACATGTTTGACATGGGCAGAAATGTGCATTATAGTAAAACTCATCAATAGAATTATCAATAGCCCAATCTTTGAAAAATAAAAGGTTAGTACACATATGCCCTACTTTTATCATATTGGTTACAAGGGAAAGATTTGGATAAAATAAAGCTATCTTAGAATCCTACGAATTTCACATTTTTAAATTAAATTTAAATGTAATGTAAAGCATACTTTTTTTTTCTAAAATATTCTGCTCCTCTCTGCAGAAGCATCTTAATGCTGCTTGTTGTTAGCTTCTGCCCAATAGTCAGATTACAGATGAAGAAATACTGAGCTGCCAGTGGAGTTTGGTCCATACAAGCATATAATAAAATCTATAAAGCAGAACCGGCTATAGGTCATATTGATTTACTCCATTTTTCTATGTAATATTGAATTTTTAAAATATATCCTTAAGACAACTGAAATCAAGATTTACTGAAATTGTCCTCATATTCAGCCACTTTGGCCTAATGGTTAAGAAGCAAACTGAAAAGCAGGAGACACTGAGTTCTAATTCTGCCTTAGCTATGGAAGCCAGTTGGGTGACTTGGGACAGTCATACTATCTCAGCCCAAACCACATCACATGGCTGTTGGAGGAAGGTGGAGGAAGATGTGTTGGATATATTCACTGCCTTGAGATGCTTATAAAAATAATAGACAGGATATAAATAAATATTGTCTGGTTATACTAACTTCTAACATTAGAATAGTTAAATTATGTAGTACTAAAAATAATTGTTATACCAGCACAGCATTTAGTATAAGTAGTTGAAGACTTGTCAATAACCATCCTGTGTAATGAATTGCTTTTATACAGTCTAATAAGTTTTATAATATTTATATTTTTAGTAAAAACAACTTAAATGAATTCCTTTACAGAAACCTGATTGGCCATATTGCTTTCTTTATGCCCATTACCTGCAGATTTAGATTCCGTATACATCACTTTGATACTGAATGAAATAACTTTAAATTATTCCATATATAGTTGCAGGTGAAAGTTTAGGCACCATAATTGTTTCAGTGATCCTTAACCGAATAGAGGCTGACACTTCTATGACACGGGTGTCAAACTCGCAGCATCACGTTGCTATCACATGACGTTTTGTGATGATTTTCCCATTCAGTCAAACAAATCATTCTACAAATTGGAAGACATTAATACTGTATTTAGAGTATTAATAGTATGTCAGGGGCAAAGGTTTGGACATTCTTTCAGACAATACTCTCTAACACCTTCCTTTGGCAGAAATAACAATTTCAAGAAACCAGGAGACTACATTCTAATCTCACTTTAGACATGAAAGCCACCTGGAGTGACTGGGTCAGTCACTTTGTCCGACCAATCAACCTCTCAGGATTGTTGTGGGAAAATAGGAGCAAAGAGTATTAGAGGTATGCTCACTGCCTTGAGTGAGTTCTTATAAAGTAAAAAAAAAAGCAGATTAAAAAAAGCAGATTAAAAAACTAATAAAAATGTCCTTGGTAGCCAGTTAAGATGCAGTGCCCAAGGATGGAGGAGAGAATGTAAAACACATAAAAGTCCAGGTCAGTCACAACACAAATGAACCCATACCTTAATGCTTTACAACACATGCAGCATTTATACTGGGCTTTGATGGGCCTGCTGCAATCATCTTGACTTTCGTTAAACACTCTTTACACACAGATGCCACTCCATTTAAGTCTCTCTGTAATGGCTTGGAATTTTTCACTCTTCCTTGCAGAAGCATTTTCCCTTAGAAATATTAAGAGCATGAGATCTCCCCACATTGAATTTAAGTAATATCCAAGGGCAATTTGAAAATCTTTTTTTTTCTTACATTTCATGGTTATTTCCATATATACTTCAAATAATTTATTACTGAACTTTTGGGGCTTCAATTTTCTTCATTGATATGTCTTCACATTTACATAAATTTGTTTGTACTATTTAGAAGCTGTGTCACTTTTCACTTAGGGATTCATTGAAACATACAATGTTTCAGGGTGCCTGAATTTTAGAATGAATTTTAGAATGCAACTATATAAACAAGCACCAGACTATTTCACCAAGCCTCTGAGAAGAAGCATTTAATTCAACACTATAACACTCATACAAGCACTCATAGGATTTTGAGCAATTAAACTTGCCAGTCTTGTGAATGCTCTCTGAGGCCATCAGGTTATGTTAGATCTGAAATTAAAATGTCTAAAAATACTAAAAGCTAATTACACATAATAAATAGTTCAAAATTACAACTTCACATCACATAATGCATAGATAAGTTTTAAATAGGATTTTTCATGTAACTTCTGAACTTAAACTGTACCTTTCTTTCAGGATGCCACGACAGGATGTTGAAATTACATCATCTTGTATGAAATGTGTCACAATGTACTGTTAATAAAAACTTTTTCTGCATAACTCATTGGGTAGGAAACTTGCACTCTTTCTCTCTCTCTCTCTCTCTCTCTCTCTCTCTCTCTCTCCCATACCTACAGACATGCAGATTACAAATTTGGGGTTTCAGATAGAAGAAAATAGTACTTCTATGGCTGACCAGTCTACTAACAGACAAGTGTCCAAAACTGCAGAAACATTATGGTCAGTTTATAAAGACTCGTATAATTTAGACATATAAGGCATCTAAATCTGGTATCTTTATAGTTTAATTATGCTTGCAGTCCATGCTTACCTAAATTTCTGCCTTCAGATATGTTGGACTTTGACTCTGGGATATCACTGGAGCTTAAGTCCACAACATCTGGAGTACAAAATTGTGAAAAGATCTGCATATTCTCTCAACATAGCTTTAAAATAAAATACAGAGAAAGCAAACATAATAAATAAAACATAGTACTGTTCTTAATTCACCAGATAAACATTAACAGTCACAGGCCTAGATATAGAATTATTAAGGTTGATTGGCAAATTTATTTCAATATCACCAGGCTTATTTTTCAAAAGAACAGTTCAAAATTATGATCAATAAAGACAGACCTCATTGCAGTGAACACTGCCATACATGAACAGCATACTACAGCTTATCCTGAAACACTTGCAAAATGAATTAACTGAAGTGTCATTGGATTCTATGATACTGTTCACATACTAAAAAAAAAGTTTTAAGTTAGCTATAATTCTTAGACTTGTCAATGCCAAATGTTGGTCTTCAATGTTCTGTTAACTCATTCTTTCATAAAGTAGAAAATGTTAGGGTAGTCAGCTTCTTGCATCCAATACAAAAAGTAGATTTATATAATTAGAATATGTGCAGTAAAATACATCATTGAAGTTTTAAATAGAGGAATTTAAGTTTGCTTTGTTAAAACGTTTTACTCTGTTAATCTTTGCAATACTCAAGAGCAAGTTATAATGTATAAAAATTGGCAAATTCTGCCTCTGTCATATGAAAACTAGACCAAACCAGATATTCTGACCTAACCAAACAGTAATGAACAGTATGATTGAATCATGTACATATTTCCAAATATATAGGTAAATATTATACATTCAGGACTCAAAAGTTTTTTCTGCTAGTAATCAACCGTGTGGGTGTATAGCACCTGTTATTTAAGAATCACTGTGTTAAAGGTTAGTAGTTCATTATATGCGATTATTACCTCACAGAAGATTTGAAAGGTCATATGAGAGGACAGCATTACAGGCAATATACAACTGTTTTTACTATTATAACAAACAGTGTTTTATCACCATGTGCTTTTGGAAAACAGAAAAGCATTATAAACAGCAATTAAATTTTATGTCCAAAAAGATAGCTTGCAAAGCTGCACATAACAATTTCTGAGAACATCATTGCATTATCTTTAGCAAATCTGTTAATAGTTTAATTTACCCCTTATGGGGAGAGTATTCATATACATCATTGAAAGCTGTGTGTTCTTTTAGGCAAATATACCCCAGATGTAAAAGTAATGTAAACTCTAATTAATGCTGAAGATAAAATGATGCAGCCTATCACACATGTATTTTCAAAGACAATGGCATTAATTTTTCACTGGATTTTTTACACTTAATTTTAGCACAATCAACCTACCTTTATATCAAGATAGAATAAAGCATTTTTAAGGGCCCTGAAAAATCAGAAATAAGGTTGTTACTATATAAATTATAGCTACAAATAGTTATTAGAAGCCAGTTTTTATTCTAGGCAATGATAACAGTCCCAGAGATCTGACTTCAGTTGTACCTTATCTTCTCCCAAAAGATAAATGCACCAGTAAATCACTAAAATTTAATGAAATTAAAGAACCAGAATAGTTTTTATTCAACATGGTTAAGCCACCTACTCCAGGTTCCAATTTGCTTCAAACCCCTTTAACCCGAGATTTTTTCTACAGCATAACTTCTCAAGCCAATAAAAATTTTCATATTTTGTTAAATCTAGAAAATTGAACATATTGATGGATAAAGTATGTGTACAGTTTTAACTGAATTAGAACTTTGTTAAGGCTTACATAGAACAAGCTGCAGATAATGTAATTTCCACATCACACTGAACAAATATTTGCTGTAGAAGTCAAATGGATAACTGTACATATAAAAAGTGTAGAGCATCAAATAAAGTAAGCCAATTTATTGTTGTTTCAATTTAATATAACTGACCTTCCAGAGTAAATGACACTAAAAATGTGTATTCAAAGACACATCAGGACATTCAGTAGCTAGCTCCTATCTTCAACCATAACTATCACCTACTAAAAATTATCAAACCTTATTTAATAAAATCTACTGGGTCAAATAAACTTTTAAATATAACTTAGTTTTGACTTTAACACCTCAGTTCTATGTAAAATTTTGATTTAGCAAATGTTGAAATATAAAGCAGCTCAAGTAAAATACTTTGGTTGAAATTCTAATAAAAAGTCAATATTTTAATCATTTCATACATACTCACTGAAGCATGTGAAGAATTCAATTTTTTATTTGCAATATTCATAACTATTCTATATTTCTATTCAGGAAGTCAGTTTCTGTCTAGAACATTGTTAATAGAACAACAAACGTTAATTCTACTATGTGAAAGGGCTACAAATACATCAAGCAGACTACAGAAATTTTGATTTACAATTGGCCTAAGTTACTGGCTCATTGTTCACTGAGCACAAATTTTAAAAATTGAATACTTAAATTGGTCAATCAATAATGTTACTTTTTTATATTTTAGTATTTCATTTCAGCCAATATATTTTATTGGCATGTTAATTTAATCCTTGCAATCTAAAGATCTAATGGTCTACAAATCTGAGAGCCAATTTGTTTTAATAAAACTTACACAAAAGTCAACTAGTCTGCCAGCAGATGGCACTCTATTTAATACTTGGCTTTTTAATAAGAACAATTAAGATAGTATCCAATTGAAATGACTTCACTATGCAAACAAAATATTTATAAGGGAAATCATTCACCCCTTTAAAAATGGATTGTTACAGACAAGCCAATAAATAACACAATGTGAAACTAAGAAATCTGACATTTTGAACATGTATATATAAAAAAGCACATGCTTTAAATGTGTTAGAACATTTTTATGAATAACTCCCTATATAAAAGAACAGACCAACTGTGTTTGCAAGGCAAATGCCCAACTGCAAAACTGTGGATGAAGAATAAGGTATTTTAACCAACTTCATCCACCAACATATTTCAAAAACTGGCACAAACTCTTTACCAGTAAGAAAACCAATGTAGTGAGGCAGCAAGAGCTGGGCTCTATACTTGAAATAAAGCAATCTTTTTTTAACACACTTAGCTATTCAAGCATCAGTAAATTTTACTGGCTTAAAAAACTTTTGTTTGAAATATACGGAATGAACCCTAGGAAAAAAGACATGTAAAGGTCAATGAACACAATGATTTATTTAAAAAATAAAAATGTAAAAACGATTTAACCCCTTTTACAGCCATGGAATCATTGTAGAAAAAAATGTGTAGATATTCCAAGTCCTTACAAAGTTAATTCCCTTTCCCTCCCAAGTTTTACTTCAGAATCATGACTTTCCCTCCCAACCCCAAATAAACCAAAATTAAAACAATATCTTGTTCCTAGTATAAAAAACGACTAATGTCCAAGCAATAAAAAAATAGAGTCCATCAATGACTAACACAAAATCGTTGTGTGAAAAGACCCAGTACATCTTCAAGAAAGTGACACAGGCAGCAGAGCGACCCCACCAGGAACATTCGAGATCTGCTTCGCATCACTGGAACCTTTTTGTATGAAGGTGCCTTTAGGCGAAGTGTAGGGGAAGTATTGAAAGCCTGGCCTGGTACAAACGGAGAGCATACTCCATGCAGACAAAACTAACGTCCCCCAGAAGGATCGGTGGGAATTCCCGCTTAGAAAGAGCCGCCTCCATAACCTCCCCCGCCATAACCGCCTCTGTATGGTCCACTGTTACTGCGGGGGCCCCAGCTGCCGCCACCGCCGCCACCCGCACCGCCGCTCTTCATAGGGCCATAGGACGACTGGTGCTGGCTGTAGCTGCCGAAGCCGCCGTACCCATTGCCATAGTCGCCGCCGCTGCCACCTCCGCCGTAAGAGCCGCCACCGTACGAGCCGTAGCCTCCACCACCACCGCCGCCGCCGCCTCCTCCGTAGCCTCCGTAACTGTTATAGCCGCCGCCGCCTCCTTTGGAGAGACCGTTGTGGTCCCGGTTGCCGGCACCTCCGCCCCTTCCTCTTCCCCGTCCGCCCCAACTCGACCTGGAAGAACCGCCGCCTCCTGCTTGGATGTCTTCTCTCGGCACGGCCTTCTTAACCTCCACCCGGTGGCCCTGGATGGGGTGAAATTTGACCACGGCCGCCTTGTCAGCGGCGTCGTGGTTCTGAAAGTAGACGAAGCCGAAGCCCCGCTTCTTGCCGCTCTGCTTGTTGGAGATGATCTCGGCCTTCTCCACAGGGCCGAACTGACTGAAATGCTCCACTAGATCGTTCTCCCCCAAGTCCCCCTTGAGGCCTCCGACGAAGAGTTTCTTCACTTTCGCGTGGGCGCCGGGCCGGGCGGAATCCTCGCGGGAAACGGCCCGCTTCAGCTCAACCACGTTGCCGTCGACAGCGTGCGGCGAGGCAGCCATGGCGGCATCGGCTTCTTCCACAGCCGAGTATGTGACAAAACCGAAGCATCGGGAGCGCTTGGTTTGCGGGTTGAGCACAACCACACAGTCGGTTAGGGTCCCGTAGGCCTCGAAGTATTCTCGCAGCCCAGCTTCCGTCGTCTGCACATTCAGGCCGCCAATGAACAGCTTACAAAGCTGGGAGTTTTCCATGCCGGAGCCGCGGCCGTCACACGCCTCCTCCTCCTCCTCGCTGCTGCTGCCGCCGGTAGGGGGCAGCTGCCGCCGGATAAAAATCGACAGAGGCTACGAAGCAATCTTCGTCGTGGGACAGGTCGGGCCAGATCCACCGGCAGAGAACGGGGAAAGGGGGTGGGGAAAGGAAACGTACAAAATGGCGTCTGCGATTTCTACTCCTCCTCAGGCGCGCTCGCAGCCAGCCACTGCTGCCCACACACAAAGGAAACGCCAAAGGGCCCGCCTTCCGTGGCAGCGCGAGACACACCTCTTTTCCTGGAGTACCGACTGAGCCAACAACCGTCCGCCATTGCCTTCTTACGTTATTACTGAATGATAGATCCCAAAGCCAATCATCTTTCCCGTCCGAGCGACGAGTTGCGTTTAAAAAAGTATGAGGAGGAGCGAATCGTTTAATTGACGTCCGGAAGGAACCTATCACATTTCTAGTTTAAGCAGCCGCGGATAAAACAATCGGTTACGTACTGAGCCGAAGTCCAAAAGAGACAAAAGCCACTCCGATACGCCCATGGACAAAGGCATCAGCCAATAGGCTGTCCCGCTTGTAAGCGCGCGCTTTCTCCTGGAGAGCTCCCTTCTCCCTTGGGCGGGGTTGATAGCGCAACGAAGATAACGAGGTTTATTTGAAAGATTGAGCACGTTTGGCCGTTATCCGATGTCGCGCTCTGCATTTCCCTAGGCTCCTTCCGAACAAGATTTATGAGCTGAGCCACTAGTAGGAGAGCAAGCTTGAGTACGAATGAAAACGAAGGCACCTGTATTGACCAAAAAACCCATATTAAGGCCGTGCCTGTATTAGATCAGCTAAAAATACTAAAAATAAAACTGTTGTTCAGTTTTTCAGAAAAAATAATTCCGGGGGGGGGGGGGGGGGGGGGGAGNTAGATAGATAGATAGATAGATAGATAGATAGATAGATAGATAGATAGATAGATAGATAGATAGATAGACAGACAGACACTGTTGATAGATGATAGAAAAGAGAGATACCTCAAAATGTTTGCAGATCTAACTAAGTTATGGTTTTAGCATCTTCAAGTGTTTAAATACTATTGAAATTTCAAAAAAATGAATACAGTAGGAAAATACAGTAACTGGTATTTGTAACACCCTGAAAAGCCACAAGGTTGCACTCATGTACCATATCAGTTTCATAGCACTTATATGCTGCAGAAGCTTATATGTAGCTTAGTTTGAAATAAATAAATTAGATTCTTTCCTTGAATAACCTGGAAATGAGATGGAGGAAATGATGATGTTGGGAAATACATTTTCGTTCTTCTGAAAAAGAATTTGCCTGAATATTTTTTAAAAGTGGGGATTTTTTTTCTACCATAGATATTATTACATCGTTCATCCAAAATGGTGATAAATTCAGGCTGCATTGAAGTTAGGATAAAAAAGAAATAATTCCATATCTATTAATCATGTAATGGTACTTTGGGGACTGTAATCCTATAATCCTACATAGAATTGACACATGATCAATCTTTTAGCAAACCTTAGTTTCAAAGAAAGTATTTTTCTGTGACTTTGCTTTAGGTAGATATTGGCTGTATTTGCACTTAAGAAGTTAAACTCATTGTATCCATCCTTTTTAGACTTGTATGCTGTGGGTTGCGGTCATCACTCAAAATCAGGCCACATGTAACTAGTGCTCAGTTTAAAATACTTTAACATTACATTTCACATTTAATGTGCAGAGCAACAGAAATGGAAGCCATAAGTAACTTTTCTTTCAGAATATTGTTGAGAGAATATTGGGCCGCAGGAATCAGGACACCATTGGATACTGTTATATGCAAGGTGATGGATAGATCCCACCCTACATGCTTAAACATTTGAACCTGCAGCTATTCTGCACAAGCATTCCCTTAATTTCCAGTTTGGCCACAAGGGTTAACTTGGCAATTGTGTGCCAGTATCACACTTTCTGGGCAGAAGCAGATGCTGCAACCAACACAGCCCTAACAATTCAATTCCACTCTTAGCATACTGAACATGGTCATTGGGTTGGCCAATGCAGAACCATTTTTTAAATTTAATTTTTGTTTAACTGGTTTTCTTTCTCTCTCTTAAGGCAGATTCATGCCACAATAATAGAAACCACAGAACCTTCTTCCTGTTGTTAGAAAATTCACCCATCCGATAAAGTAAAAAACACATATAATTACAAGAGTTTTTAATAACTGTTCAAAACGATAGACATCTCATTTTTTAGGGCCACCCATTCACACATGACTTTAAGAGACTTACCAGGAATTTTGGCAGGCAAAAGGTTGGGAAAAGCAATCCTCTACTTCCCTACTTAGTGTAAAATGGATTACTTGCACAACTCTCTGCTGCATACATTTGATTAATAAGTAAATATTGCTGTCTTCACAAGAGCGCTCCCTTCTATCTTGTAAATAAACCATGCTATTTCCTATCTCAGGATTTGGCTGGGTTGACACATACTATTCATTTACAGATTTTATATTGGAGTATTATTCTGCTCGTGGCAAAATTGCAGTGTAGATGATACCATCTCACTAATCCAGGAAAGAGGAAGAAACATTCAACCATGAAAACAGTAACTATAAGTTGAAGAATTTGAACAAATTGATTTGGGGCTTGATGGGGTTGTAGTGGTGGTAAAGGATTTTCACTGAAATTACTTCACTTCAAACCAAACATTGAAGCTAATAAACATATAGCTGCATACTCTGATTTTCCAAAAGCAATAGGACCCTTTCACCAGATGAAAATGTTGCTTTTCCTTGATCAGTGGCCAGTTCATGATTTAACCATTTGTGCATGTCAAAATTAGGAATAATTTAAAACAGGGGACTGGGACCAGAAAGGAAACTGCAAAATGTGGTGCCAGCTGAATGACCAATTTTGTGTATTTTTATAGGGACTTCCTGGAAGAAAAAAAGGCAATATTGAAGTGCTGGGCTTTGTTAACTTGCTTCTATTTTATCCAGCTAATAAATATACTAAAGATATATGTATGCATGCAAATTGGAAAGGATTCATATTTGAGAAGAACTGTCAAGACATGCCTGTCATATGTATTGGGACTTAAGAGTCGTGGTGGCATAGTTGTTAGAATGCAGTATTGCAGGCTAATTCTGCCCACTGCCAATAGTCTCACCGGCACAAGGTTGACTCAGCTTTTCAGCCTTCCGAGGTGGGTAAAATGAGAACCCAGATTGTTGTATGCTGACTCTGTAAACTGCTGTAAAGCACTATGGTGGCATATAAGTCTAAGTTCTATTGCTATTGCTATATCTAATTAGTTTTCATGGCAACAAATACAAACCTTGGCACATATATGTTGTCTCACACAGTATCATCCCAAAGTCATTTTACCAATAAGCAGAAGCTATTAAAAAAAATCTACAAAACCTGCAGAAAACCTGCCATTGCCTATCTGTGGGCTGTTTTGTTTTTAGCTTCTAAATCTAATTTATACCACTTGACTTTCCTTGTGAACTTCTATCCAAGGACAATTTGGGTTGGCTTAGCTTTTTGAGATCAGTCACATATGACTAAGTGAGACTGAAAAAATAGCTACCTTTTCACAAAAAGCAGAAGCAAAGCTTATATGTCTGTGTTTTATATTTGTTTTCATTTACTGTTAGGTTTATGCTCCATAAAACATTGAGGTAAGACGGACACATACATTTTGCCCAATGAATTTATTTGCTCATAAAAACCAATTCAAACACAACTTTGCAGACATGATAAATGGATTTTTCCCCATAAACCTGAAGCTTATTATGGCTGCAACTATGTCCTTTGAATAGATCATGAGAAGGTTATATAGAATACAAACACCAACCCTCTTTTATTTATTTCTTCTGTGACTCAAAACCATCCATCAGCAGAAACAATTAAAATATTGATGAGCTGTGGCAAAATAGTGCATTTTGTATAATTCTTACCCTGGTAGGTTTTTTTTTCCCCCAACCTGAAGTGTTCTGCTTCTCTCTCTCAACCAAATTTAAAATGGCCCAAGTCTTATTGTGTATGTACCTTACATTAAGAAAACTGAGAAACATATTTTCTAAAATATTATCCTTATTGTAAAGTTGGTTGATTTTACAAAAGGTAATCCCAATCTCATCCACCAGATAAAAGTTCTTCTTAGAACTGTAACAAGAGTTGTATCATGATGGGATCATTAGAGGAGATTTTTCCTATCTTTATCAAATATGGAAAGGGGAAGTCATGCTCTAGACAGCAGTCTCTGTGTTCCAGGGCCAGATTAAGGTCAACTGATGCTCTAAACCTGATAATAATAATACTCTAATAATACTGCTCCTCAACGTTTCCATTGCTTAATTGACAAGACATTAAGACTTAGTAAGTGCTGAAAACTAAAGTTGAGTGTAGCAGTGAAAGAATTAAAGACATGATCGTTAGGGGAAAAAACCTCTATGGTGACCCCACTTCCTTAGTACCCTAAGCATGTGCTTATTTTTCTTATTGGTTAATTCAGGACTGGTCTGTTCCAGTTCAGAAAGTATGAGTACCTATGGAAGCAAAACCTGAAGATGTGGCAGTTCAAACTGAATGACTGAGGAGATCAGTGATGGAAAGTTCACTGTCCTCAGATAGTATTTCCAGTGAATACTATTTATCCAATGAAAGATGATTGTGGGGTAATTTCTGATTCTGTGTTGTCTCCATCAGTTGTGGACATAGTGTCTGGTGGCTGATAGAAATCTTGAATCAAAATGGAGTTTGTATTCTTCCATTCTCTATACTTTGTTGCTGTTAGCTTATGGTCCTCCAGTAGCTGGTTTATCTTGGCCAAGTCATGTTCTTTGCACTAGTCAATACAAGAAGAAAAAACAAATTACTAGAAGTAGACCTTGGGACAGATAAATAATTCAAGAAGGACTAGGGGAGACATGATAGCAGTGTTCCAATATCTCAGGGTTGCCACAAAGAAGAGAGAGTCAAACTATTCTCCAAAGCACCTGAGGGTAGAACAAGAAGCAATGCATAAACCTGGTCAAGGAGAGAAACAACTTAGAACTGAGGATAAATTTCCTGACAGAACAATTAAACAGTGGAACAATTTGCCTCCAGAAGTTGTGGGTGCTCCAACACTGGAAGTTTTTAAGAAGATGTTGGATGAAGTGGTTTCCTGCCTAGGCAGGGGATTGGAATAGAAGACCTCCAAGGTCCCTTCAACTTTGTTATTCTACGCTATTCTAAGTCTTCTTGTTTACATACCCAACATTCAGAAAACTGAGAAAACTATCTCTCAAATGTCAAGTCTCCTGGTCTTTCCACTACTTTTTTTCAAAGAAAAACTATTTCTCATAATTACTAATTGTTTCATAAAAGTAATCATTTCACAGTAGAGAAAAATATTTTTTTAACAGTTGCTAAATATCCTACTAGTCGTAATAGTTAGATTTTCA